GGCTGGAACTCGGGAAAAAACCTGAGAGTTTATGGCCCTTGGAAGAAAGGGTAGGCAAGTCAGAAGGACCACAAGGATGTCATGAGGTTATGCAGAGAGGAAATTCGAAGAACAAAAGCCCAACTAGAACTTAATCTGGCTACTGCCATAAAAGACAATAAAAAATGCTTCTAGAAGTTCGTTAGTAATAAAAGGAGGGCTAAGGAGAATCTCCATCCTTTATTGGATGTGGAGGGAAACATAGTGACAAAGGCTGAGGAAAAGGCTGAGGTACTTAATGCCTTCTTTGCCTCAGTCTTTAATAGTAAGACCAGTTCTTCTCTGCATACCCAGACCCCCGAGCTGGAAGACAGGGACGGGCAGCAGAATGAAGCCCCCATAATCCAATGGAAAATGGTTAGCAACCTGCTACACCACTTAGACACATACAAGTCTATGGGGCTGGATGGGATCCATCCAAGGGTGTTGAGGGAGCTGGCGGAAGTGCTTACCAACCCACTTTCAATCATATATCAGCAGTCCTGGCTAACTGTGGAGGTCCCAGTTGACTGAAGTTGGCAAATGTGATGCCTGTCTACATGGAAGGAGGATCCAGGAAACTACAGGCCTGTCAGTCTGACTTTGGTGCTGGGGAAGGTTATGGAGCAGCTCATCTTGAGTGCTATAGATTAGTTTGGCTTGGAAGGGATCTTTAAAGGTTGTCTGGTCCAACAGCCCTGCAATGAGCTGGGCCATTGTGCGGCACGTTCAGGACAGCCAGATGATCAGGCCCAGTCAGCATGGCTTTATGAAAGGCAGATCCTGCTTGACTTACCTGATCTCCTTCTATGACAAGGTGGCCTGCTCACACTGTCTCCCACAGCATCTCCTGGAGAAACTGGCAGCTCAGGGCTTGGACAGGCGTATTCTTCGCTGGGGGTAAAGAACTGGCTGGATGGCCGGGCCCAAAGAGTTGTGATGAATGGTGTTAAATCCAGTCGGTGGCCAGTCACAGGTTGTGTTACCCAGTGTTCAGTATTGGAGCTAGTTCTGTTTAATATCTTTATCAATGATCTTGATGAGGGGATTGAGTGCTCCCTCAGCAACTTTGCAAACACCACCAAGTTGGGCGGGAGTGTTGATCTGCTCGAGGGTAGGAAGGTTCTCCAGAGGGATCTGGACAGGCTGGATTGATGGCCTGAGGCCAACTGTATGAAATTTAACAAGACTAAGTGCCAGGTACTGCACTTGAGTCACAACAACCCCATGCAATGCTACAGGCTTGGGGAGGAGTGGCTGGAGAGCTGCCCAGTTGAAAAGGACCTTGGGAGTGTTGGTCGACAGCCGGCTGAATATGAGCCAGCAGTGTGCCCAGGTGGCCAAGAAGGCCAACAGTGTCCTGGCCTGTATGCGAAATAGTGTGGCCAGCAGGAGTAGGGAAGTGATTGTGCCCCTGTACTCGGCACTGGTGAGGCTGCACCTCGAATCCTGTGTTCAGTTTTGGGTCCCTCACTACAAGAAGAACATTGAGGAGCTGGAGTGTGTCCAGAGAGGGCAACAAATCTGGTGAAAGGTCTAGAGCACAAGTCTTCTGAGGAGCGGCTGAGGGATCTGGGGTTGTTTAGTCTGGAGAAGAGGAGGCTGAGGGGAGACCTTATTGCTCTCTACAACTACCTGAAAGGAGGTTGTGGTGAGGTGGGTGTTGGTCTCTTCTCCCAAGTAACAAGTGATAGGACAAGAGGAAATGGCCTCAAGCTGCACCAGTGGAGGTTTAGATTGGGTATTAGGAAAAATGTCGTCACCAAAAGGGTTGTCAAGCATTGGAACAAGCTGCCCAGGGAGGTGGTGTAGTCACCATCCCTGGAGGTATTTAAAAGATGTATAGATGTGGTGCTTGGGGCCATGGTTTAGTGGTGGACTTGGCACTGCTAGGTTAACCGTTGGACTCAATCTCAAAGGTCTTTTCCAATCTAAATTATTCTATGATTCTATAATAATGCAGCTTTATGAAAGACATTTCTGAGAATGAACAGTACTAAATATTTAGCGGTGCCTGAATCACTTTGTTTATTTAAACTGCATGATGGGCTGAGAAGATTCAGATGTACGGGCAAGAATTGCAGGGTTTCAGCAGGTTGTCTTTGGGATGAGGCAATACGGTACACATGTCAGTATTGGCAAGCTGATTATTCTGTAGGGCTATTGATGTCATCTGCATGCTTAAAAAAAACCCCAAAGACACAATCCCCCCTGTTTATTTCCGTGCTGCTCTGTTCTTGTTAGCGGTGCTCCTCTATTCCTGTGTGCCTTTGCAAAGAGTAGCTTACATATTACTAATACTGAAAGCTCAAATGTATTAAGTAGTAATTCAGGTACAGGGTAAGGACTTTGTGCACCTGATATCATGATGATTTATGTTATGTAGGGCATAAACTTCAAAGATTTATAAAACACTGGCGATTGATGAGTACATTCTGTTGCTTAATAAAAGATATCCCTTGTTAGGGGTTGCTTATGTAGTTGCTCTGTGTGTGGACTTTTTTATTTTGTGTGTGTTGTCATTGGTGTATTTGCTAAATGCTTTATGTCTGTGTTCAGGGTTCTCCATACCCAAATAAGTCTAAGTATGATAGATAATAATTGAGTTTTAAAACTCAGTGTAAGATTACAGTTATGAGCATTTGAAGTACATGGACCATGATCTCAGAAAAATATGTTAGTAAATTGTTTCTATCAATTTTCATTTTTGTTTTTACTTTTTATTCAAGTAACATTTACCTGCTTATAAACAGTTACCTGGAGGGTAATCCAGGCTGGATAACAGAATTCATGGTGTTTCTCCCAATAGCAGGTTGAAAATCAGAAATGAGGTTGTATGAAGCAGTGTCGAGTGTGTGTAATTGTGTAGTAATTCGCGTAATTGTGGTGTCTCAGAACAGTGTGAAATGGCTGATTTAGTCCGTTTAACATGCACCCTAAGATTGAACTGTTTTTTTAGAAACCTCGTTATACAATTTCTAAACAATCTATAGAAGTGGGAAGGAAAAAAGTTAAGGAATTTGTGGATTTATATATTTTAGGTAATGATTTAATGATGGAGTTAACTTTGACATTCTGTTCATCTTCTTCAAGAAAATTGAAGTCCCTGTCTCTCACCCACTGCTGCTATTGTTTTCAAATGAAATAAAACCTCTGAAAAAAACAGCTAACGTGAATTCTATGCCAAAATTTTACTAGACACTAGAGGACTCTCTTGGTTTTTGTATCTGACTATATATCTGCTCAGGTGGCTATCTGAGTAGTAAATATACTCTCTGGAAAATTATCGTCTGTTTTCACACAATGAGTAATAATGAACTATTAATTACTTTTTTAATAAGGGGAGGTGTTATTATATTGTGCTTCATAGTTATGTAACATTTAGGATATATAAAACTGTATCTTTAAAAACACAGGGGCAGCAGCAGTTTTCAATAGAGATGGCTATCTCATTTCTGTGTACTTTAAGGGATTTTTATGGGAATGGGACTTTCCTTGTACTTTCCTTGCTTATGAACTAATGAGTTCTCTTGGCTGATAATGACTGGCCTTTGGGCAAAGCAGACTTTTTTTTTAATGTTAATGCATTTTTTCTTTATTTTTAGTGGGCCTGTTCCAGTTTTGGTCATGAGTCTGCTTTTTATTGCTTCTGTGTTTATGCTGCACATCTGGGGTAAATATACTCGTTCATAGACTCAGCTGCCAACTTAAAGCATACATCTTGGACCAAAAATATGGTGGATCCTGATTGTTCTTGGAGAGAGACTGGGGAAGCTTCCTATCACCTGTTGAAGTCCTGTCAGCTTTGGCTCTAATACTGAATGAATTTCTCAGTTTGCTACTTGGGCAGGTTTAAAGTCTGTCATGGGTCATTTTATATTTGTATCTGTACACTTAGAATACAGGTATTGCAATAAAAGTTGTATATGGAAACAGAAGCAGTCTTAACTGTATTTTTTTCTCTTATTCCAACATATGACAAGTAAAACATTATACATGTGGTTTTCATATATACCCATATTTCTGAGTAAATGCCATTTGACAGTTCAAACCAGATTCTCTATACTGTACATTGCTATAGAATTTTATGACAGAAGATCTTTTTTTTGTGACTGGGAGAGGCAAAATCAGGTGCACAAACATGCAAAGGTTACAAACATGTTTGTTGAAATAAAACTGAGGTACACTAGCTGAGCTGGTCATGTTCTTCTCTTAACTCCAGAAAAATAGCTGGAGTTGTTTCATTTATTTCCTAAATGCATGTTAAACTTTACTGAGTGCTCATTATACATAAAAGTATATACATATGCTTGTTTTTTCAAACTGCATTTGAGGAACAACGTGAACTGGTACCTAACTGATTTTAAAAAGAATAATTACATGGCTGTCAAAGACGTGTTTCTTTTGCAGGTCCAGGCTCTTTCAAGGAGACCTGGGGAGGAAAATGGAATGGGAGGACTGGGAAAGCAACAGCTGCATTTTAAATAACAGGACATGGAAACAGGCTGGGATACAACTAGATGTCTCTAATCACTCCAGTTTCCGACTGTGTTTTCTTTATTTTCCTTTTGAACAGTCAGTCAGCTCTTCCTTCTCTTTTTAAACCTACATACATAGCATTTCAGTTGTTTCTCACTGCTGATGTGGTCTTAGGATTCAGATAACCAAATCAGGCCTTTCCATCCAACTGGATAGAATTATTTTAGCCTGTTCATGTTATGATTCCTGTTTGAATATCAGGTTGTAATGGGAAAACGATATTCTTGGTTATGCAGCCTTCACACAAGCATTGACTGCTGACATGTAGAAGCAGCCTCTCATGCACCACCTTCCTTTAAAGCAATTCTTAAAGTAGCGTTACTTCTGAAAAAAAGAAACTGTTCAGAACAAAAACAAGAATAAGGAATGTAGTCTAAGAGCTATAAGGAGAATTGCTTTGAGCTGTGCTTATGCCATAATACCTAGTGTAAATGTAGAGGGGAAAGAGAAGAGTTGGAGCGGAAACTGAAAATTGTCTTACAAAATGTCATGGTAGGAGGGTTTTCAGAGGGTTGAAAGTTGAGGAACAGGGAATTCTGGTGACTCAAAGGTAGTGGGGTAGCAGAATACACTAAAGTGGTAGAAACTGAGACAAATAAATCGTGCATCAAAGAGAAAATGATCCACAAATCACTTACCAGTATGCATATGGAAGGGAAATAAAAACACAAGGGACAATGAAACAAATAGGGAGATTAGCTCACCACTTCAAAAGGCTGAGATAAGGATCTCTTATTTAAATGCTTTGCCTAGCAAGAAAATAAAATCTGTACAGTGAGTGATTTCATTTTAAGGAAAGAAAGAAAATGCTAATAAAAGACTAAATCAAGTCAGCTTTTCTACTGACCATGTGGACAGATTGCTGCTGACTTAATTTGTGGTACTCAAAGGGAAAGGAATAATGGATAACAGTAATACCTAAACAGGTAACCTCCTCTTTACTCTTGATGATACAGTTTTCTAACACAGCAGGGAACAATTTTCTTCAAAACACATCCGGTCCCTAAAAGCTGTTTTGCCACATCAAATAACACCATTTAAAGCCTTCCAGATTTTTGCTTGTCTGGTATCTCGCTGCTTCTAAAGACCAAAATGAGCTATGAAATCAGAAAAGGAAAAGGGGCAGGGGCGAGGCTTACTGCTGTACAGTCTACATTTAATTCAGTAGAGTATAAAAATGTTAACTATTTTGACAATGCTGTCCTTGATTAAATATTTTGTTTTCTAGAATGGCCTGCATACGCTGTCAAGGAGTCTCGTGTCTAGTTTTTCACAAATTGCTTCCCACACCTTCTTGGCTTTATATTTTGGAAATGTGAGCTTTCCTGTGGTTTAAAAAACTGCTGCTTTAATTTGTAGAAGAAGTGGTACTTCAGTTGGATGCAGCTAGCTGAAACATCCGTAGCTTGCTTTGATGTTCCTTGTACATGATAAAATGACAGATTTCTCTATTGTATGTTTGCAATTTGTGATCATTTTAATGATTAGCATAAAAGCGTAGGATATTCATGTTCATATTTTTAACATTTCATGTACATGAGCTGTAGTAGATTATTGCAATTGATGTTTATCAGAACTTCAGCTCCACAGCAGTACAGACAAAGAAGTGCAGGTTGCAAAGACTTCCCAGAAATTCGGCTAATAATGAATGTGAAATTCTGTTTGACCTGGGTGAATAAATTATGGCCATGCTGATAAACTGTAGCTAATCTGTAATACAGAAAACTAGTCTTTTGGTAATAGGTGGAAAAGAAGAAAAGATGGTCGTTGGCAAAACTTCATATCTGACAGCTAGGAATTAGTAAAACTTTGGATTTTTATACCTGCTTGTATGTGGTTGAAATACAAGCTTGGTTGAGCTGACTGTTAGAAACTGTAAATATCTTTATAGTTTACCTAGGTGCTACAGAAGGCTCTAGGTCCACAAAGCTCTTTACTTTGTCTCCTTAACCGTAAAGGTTCAGGAAATCTGGAAGAACTTCTGTTTCCTTAGAATATATGATAAAGTACTAGAATCTTTTATTCTTGGCTTAACAAAAATATTTGCAACCTCAGGTGCCATTATTCCTTAAGTGAAGAAGGGGTTTTATAAGGAAATGGCCCTGTTGTACATGAGCACATCTGTGTCACTTACGCAATAGATCTGAGTATGTGAGCCAACTTCAGTCCTATTTAACAGAGGAGTAGAAGCTGAAAGACGCTGTTCTTGAGGGTTGGATGGAATAGGTAGCTGGTGAAGAGGAAGACTGTAAAAGTTCCCTCTGAGCAAAAGACTCTTAACTTGTTATCTAGGAGAAGAGGGGGAGAGCTGGACTTAAATGCCTTTTTGATAGGAACAGCTTTAATCTTTGCTCTTGGACCTTTTTGCACACTGAAGTCAATCACCCACAAGCTATGATCTGTAGGTATGTGGGCTTCCTTAGTTCTGACATTTCAGAACTACCATTTACTTCTGCTGCCTGTGTAGAAGCCAACTCTACTACACAAAAACTATTTTTTTTTTTTCCCTTCTAGGCTTCACTGTTTACTGGTATCCAGTTGGTTACATCCAGGCCAACTTTTCTTGTAGTGTGCATATAGCATGTGGATTCCTCCCATCTCTTGCCATCATGTCACGATAAATACTGTGCCTCTGCTAACCATTCACAAAGTTTCTCATTCTGCAAGGGACCAAGGGGAAGGGCAGTTGTTCAAGTGCATAATTCATGACTGTCCCATACCTACACAGCTCTTTTGCAGCAGAAGGAATTTTTTTTTTCTTTTATCACATCAGACTCTGAATTTACCCTCCAAGAAGAAACTCTCAGCTCTTTCCAATGTCTCATCTATCTGCAGCTGTTTCTTAAACTCTCTGAGCCTATCAGACGTAACATAAACTAGTGTAAGCTCTCTTCAGTACTGTTCACAGTAAGTTATAATGCCTTTACTACAGGCACATATATACATCTGTAAAAATACATGCATGCACGTGTGTATGGTGGCTTTTTCAGTTTAGAAATGCAAAAGGATGTGTCTCTGAAAGCATGAGATGGTACACCCTTATTAGTCTGCACTGTGACAGCAGTGCAAAGAAGCAAACAGAACAGCTTGTGTTCTTTTCCTCAGCTGTGTTAGCTAAGAGATGAGTGGATGTTATACTGAGATCATGTGGTGAGAGCTAAATCATTTTAGAAATATATTAATAGATTCTGTGAAAGGCTTGGTAGAATTTTTTTTTTTTTTTTTTTTTTTTATTTTGTCTGGAAAAAGAGATGCCTCTTGTTTCCTCAAAGGCTAACTTTGAGCCTGTATACTTCCAGCTTTTATAATAAGGCTGCATTGACATCCTCATATTAGCTCTTCATATAAATATGTTTCATAGAAGGATATGTTTTGTAGACTTGGCATTGTTAGTAATATATTAAGAGTATTAACAATTCTTAACTTGGCATGCAAGCTAACTTTATCCTGGGCTGCATCCAAAGCAGCGTGGCCAGCAGGCGAAGGGAGGGGATTCTGCCCCTCTACTGTGCTCTGGTGAAACTCCACCTGGAGTCCTGCATCCAGCTCTGGAGCCCTCAGCACAGGAAAGACATGGACCTGTTGGAATGGGTCCAGGGGAGGGCCACAAAAATGATCCGAGGGATGGAGCACCTCTCCTGTGAGGACAGGCTGAGAGAGCTGGGCTTGTTCAGCCTGGAGAAGAGAAGGCTCTGGGGAGACCTGATTGCAGCCTTTCCGTACTTAAAGGGGGCTTGTAAGAAAGATGGGGACAGATTTTTAGCAGGGCCTGTAGTGATAGAACAAGGAGTAACAGTTTTAAACTGAAAAAGGGTAGATTTAGATTAGATATAAGGAAGGAATTTTTGACAATGAGGGTGGCAAAACACTGGCGCAGGTTGCCCAGAGAGGTGGTAGATGCCCCATCCCTGGAAACATTTAAGGTCAGGTTGGACGGGGCTCTGAGCAACCTGATTCAGTTGAAGATGTCCCTGCTCCTTGCAGGGGGGTTGGACTAGATGAGCTTTAAAGGTCCCTTCCAACCTAAACTGTTCTATGATTCTATAAGAGGGGACTGTCTGCCTTTTGGCTTTTTTTTTTATTGAGGGGGAAATTGTATAGCATTTGTGATTTCTGTTTTGATTTCAGAAGTTGGTGAAAAGAAAGGCAGGCAAAGCAAGAGCACATTTGAAGTTACTGAGTACACCTCATCCCTGACATGTATGACCTTCTCTTCTTCCTTCTGTGTTCTAGTTGTCGCTCTAGTTGTTCTCAGGAGGCTGCTGATTGTACTGAATTGTGCCATTTAGTAGGATAATGCTGTAATGCAGAGACATGGCAGGTAGTAACAATAGTGAACAGAACAGACCCATTTTACTTAAGACAAAATCCAAGTTCAGATGTGAATCACCACAGATTT